CAGACTCTGAAATAGGCTCCAGGCTCTGAGCTGTCAGCACAGAGCCCAAGGCAGGGCTTGAACTCACAAACCGTGAGATCATGACCTGAGCCAAAGTCGGACGGTTAACCGACCGAGCCACCCAGGCGCCCCTGTAAGCTTCTATTTGTAAGACACTCAGGGGCGCCTGGGTGGCTTAGTTGGTTAAGTGTCCGACTTTCGCTTAGGTCATGATCTCACGGTTTGTGGGTTCGAGCCCCGCGTCGGGCTCTGTGCTGACTGCCAGCTCAGAGCCTGGAGCCTATTTCAGAGTCTGTGTCTCCCTCTCTCTCTGACCCTCCCCTGCTCACGCTCTCTCTCTCTCTCTCCTAGAAATAAATTTAAAAATATGTATGTTAAAAAAAAAAAAAAAGACACTCAGAGGGCTGGATTTTGCATTCTTCAGAGAAGCACGTCCTGATGAAAACCACAACACAGGGAGAAGGGGAGCACTTTCAAGCCGTCGCCCGCTATTTCAACCAGACACAACATGAAGCAACATTTTAAATACTCACGTATCTACTGCTAAGCTTTAGGAAATCCTCTAGACAGAGTTTACCAACCTCTATCAGATCAGGGGCGCCTGGGTGACTCAGTCGGTTCAGCATCCAACTTTGGCTCACAGTTCGTGAGTTTGAGACCCACGTCCAGCTCTGTGCTGACAGCTCAGAGTCTGGAGCCTGTTTCAGATCCTGTGTCTCCCTCCCTCTCTCTGACCCTCCCCCACTTGCACTCTGTCTCTCAAAAATAAATATTTTTTAAAATACATGTTACTGGGGCATCTGGGTAGCTTAGTTGGTTGGTCGTCTGAGTTCAGTTCAGGTCATGATCTTGCCATTCCCAAGTTCAAGTCCCGCGTCAGGCTCTGTGCTGACGGCTCAGAGCCTGGAGCCTGCTTCAGATTCTGTGTCTCCCTCTCTCTCTGCCCCTGCCCTGCTAGCACTCTGTCTCTGTCTCTCCCTCAAAAATAAACATTAAAAGAAATTTTGTAATGCATATTACTGGGCACCAAGTCTCACTTGTTAAATCTGAACATCCTGACATAAAATTTGACAGCCAATGATTAATAAGGTTGATATAACAGATAAGCCGATTCCAAAGCATAAAAACAAAGAACACAGCTTCTTCCCAAGATCTAGAGAACAATTCTAAAACTCACAGGGGCGCTGGGGTGGCTCCGTCGGTTAGGCGTCCGACGTCGGCTCAGGTCATGATCTCATGGTTCGTGGGTTCGAGCCCCGTGTCGCGCTCTGTGCTGACAGCTCAGAGCCTGGAGCCTACTTTGGATTCTGTGTCTCCCTCTCTCTGACAATCCCTGCTCACACTGTCTCTCTCTCTCTCAAAAATAAATAAAACATTAAAATAAATAAATGAAACTCGATCACAGAGTACACCACACAGCAAAACACAACACATTTCAAAGATTCAAGACAGTAGACACATTCTCAGACCACAGCACAAAAAAAAGCAGAGACTTAAAGGATAATAAAGATGGCGGGAATCTACAGAAAGCCCACAGAAAACATCACAGTCCACAGTGAAAGACTAAATGTTTTTCTGTAAGGTCTGGAACAAAGCAAGGAGGTGTGTTCTCGACACTCCTGTTCAGCACTGCACTAAAAGACTGAGCCAGAGCAATCAGACAAGAAAAAGAATTTGTTTTCAAAGAGAGGAAGATGGGTAAACACCCAGAAGTTTAATATATTCTCTCTCAAAATACTTTGAGTCAGATAAATTAAAAAAAAAAAAAAAACAAGCATTGTAAGTATATATTTTTTTAGTGTTTTATTTATTTCTGAGAGAGAGGGAGAGACAGCGTGAGCAGGGGTCAAAGAGAGAGGGAGACACAGAATCCAAAGCAGGCTCCAGGCTCTGGGCTGGCTGTCAGCACAGAGCCCAATGCAGGGCTCGAACCCAAGAACCATGAGATCATGACTTGAGCCAAAGTCGGACACCTAACCGACTGAGCCACCCAGGCGCCCCTGTAAATATATATTTTTAATAGGCTCCACGTCCATGATCTCACAACCCTGAGATCAAGAGTCACACACTCTACCAACTGAGCCAGCCAGGTGCCCCTATAAATATTTTTGAAATATGTGAAAACAAAGCTAACGGAAGCTCTCCTCTGGTTAAATTACTCACCTTGAAGGCTCCAGTGACTCACATTTCAAATCAAATGTCAGGTGCTCAGAAAGGCCCGAGGTTGGCCTCTCTCATATTATCTATCACAGCAGCATCCTGTTCAAGTCCCCAAGAGCACTAACAGAATCTGTCACGATTTAATTAAAGTATGTGCTTAGCTGTTTCACATTGTCCCTGCCCCTCACTCCATCATGGGTCTGGCTACACTGCAGGGCTCACGGCAAATTGAAAACATAGTGGCGGGATCCTCTGACTCTCAAGACAGGGGGCTCCTGGGGGGCTCAGTCGGTATATTCGTCCAACTCTTGATTTTGGCTCAGGTCATGATCTCATGGTTTGTGGGATCAAGCCCCGTGTTGGGCTCTGCGCAGATGGTACAGACCCTGCCTGGGATTCCCTCTCCCTCTCTTTCTGCCCCTCCCCTGCTTGTGTTCTCTCTCTCTCAAAAATAAATATAAAAAATATATATCAAGATGGGTATGAGTATTTAACCAATCACAGGACACTTGGGTGACTGCACACGTCACAACCTGCCTCCTCACTACTGGAATATATGTGCAGGGAGGGCAGGCGCCCCATACGCCCTGTGCCCGGCCACCTAGCACAAGGAGTTCCAAACAACTCTTAGAGGGAGCAAGGGATCGAGACTGGAAAACAGTGCACTGTAACACCCCTACGTCAGCCAGGCCTCAGAAGTGGATGAAAGCTGGATGCTTCCCCAGATGACACACCATGGCCCCCAACACACAACTGCATCCGGCACAAGACTGTTCCCAGAGCCCTTGGAGAAACTTATCCATCAACCCAGGAGGGTCTACACGGACGCCAGAGGAGGGATCTCTACTTTAGAGAAAGGCAGCAACTACGATGTGATCAGGTACCACTCAGGTGAGAGGAGACCTGACGGGCAACCTTCCTCATCAGCCACAGACAAAGGGGAAGATTTAGATGGAGGTCAAATGACTTCCAGGCGAGAATGTAGAAAACAGCTCCAAATGTGGCATGGGCACTTGTACAGACTGTTCCAGTTCAAATCCTGGGTCCGCCACTTTCTAGTCATCTGACTTTGGACAACGTCCTTTATTTCCGTTAACCCTGCTGGAGCGGGAGGGTGTGAACAGCGACTATCTCCTGGGGTGGTTGAGGAGAGTCAATGACGAACCACAGCCAATAAACGGTGATGGTGACGGTGACGGTGATGGTGATCGTGACGGTGACGGTGATGATGACGGTGCACATCAGAGCTCCTGGTCTCCACTCTGGCAGGTCGGCCTCGCAGGTGGGACTTTTCCCGGGCTGTCAAAGGCGGCCCCACTTCCCCCATCCCAACACCTACTGCATCCACCCTCCCCACCATGCCGTCGACAAGCCTACCTGCCTGACCCAAGAAAGCTGATATCCCTTGGGGTTGTCTGATTTCTGCTCACGGTCAAAATGATTATAGCAACACCAAACAAAATGGCAAAAGGCACGAAATCACATATGCTCAGATAACTGACAAATAAGCTCTGTTCGTTCCTCCACATCTCTGTCCAGCCTTTGTCCGTTTGTGTATATATTCAGAATTCACTGGACAGAATCACACATACTATTTTGCACTCTTTATTTTTCACTTTGTACCCAAAGCTCTCTCTGTGCTAGCATACATTCTGTGCTGACGGAGCCAGGCACGAAACAAGTTAGAACCTAGCTAAGTAACCAACTGGGGCCGAAAGACTAAGTAAAGTACTGAAACAGATTACTGAAACAAAGATGCTGAATTTTGGGCGTCCGGGTGGCTCAGTCAGTTAGGCATCCGACTTCGGCTCAGGTCATGATCTCAAGGCTCATGAGTTCTAGCCCTGCATCGGGCTCTGTGCTGACAGCTCAGAGCCTGGAGCCTGCTTCCAATTCTGTGTCTCCCTCTCTCTGTGTCTCTTTCCCATTTATCTGTCAGTCTCTCACAAATAAATAAACATTTTTAAAAAATACTGAATTTTGGGGCACCTGGGTGGCTCAGTCGATAAGCGTCCGGCTTTGGCTCAGGTCATGATCTCATGGTTCGTGGGTTCGAACCCCACATTGGCCTATGTGCTGACAACTAGCTCACAGCCTGGAGCCTGCTTCAGATTCTGTGTCTCCCTCTCTCTCTGACCCTCCCCTGTTCATGCTGTCTCTATCTCTCTCTCAAAAATAAATAAAATATTTAAAAAAAAAAATACTGAATTTTGATGGGGCACCTGGCTGGCTCTGTTGGTTGAACATCTGATGCTTGATTTCGGTTCAGGTCATGATCTCGGGGTTTGTGGAATCGAGCCCGTGTCGGGCTCTGCGCTGACAGTGTGGAACCTGCTTAGGACTCTCTCTCTCTCTCTCTCCATCTCTCTCTGCCCCTCATCTGCTAGCACTCCTTCTTGAAATAATAAACATATTTTTTTAAATACTGAATTTTGAAACAAAAGGTTGAAACAGAATGCCTTTTGTTTGACCAACTAACTTAGTATGAGAGCTCTTATCAAAACCCCATTCCAGGTTACTGTTCACATTTACCAATCTTTTCCAAAAAGATGGGCCTCACTGCGCACAGCTCAATGGCAACTTCCCCCATTAAAAGGTCCCTTCTCAGATCTAGATCTTGGTGCTTTTCCTCAAGAATGTGGCAGAAGCCTCTTCTCCAACAGTCCCATCAGAAGGGCAAAATCTAACCATACCTCTGCAGCAGCGAGCCAGAAGAGACATTACAGCCAGCCACCTCTAAAACCCAATGAGCCGGCTGCTCTGGTAGAAAGCTTTCCCACAGTCAATTATTTTATAGGCCTTCTGGCTGGTGTGAGTTTTCTGATGTGTGATAAGGGCGGATCTCTGGCTGAACGCCTTCCCGCACTCCCTGCAGCCGTACGGCCTCTCTCCGGTGTGAGTCCGCTCGTGCCTGACCAGGGACGACCTCTGGCTGAAGGCTCTTCCACACTGGCCACACTCATAGGGGTTCTCACCGGTGTGAGTCCGCTCGTGTTGGTTAAGTGAGGAGCGATCACTGAAGGCCTTGCCACACTCATTACACTCATAGGGCTTCTCACCTGTGTGTGTTCTCTTGTGCAAGATCAGGTAAGAGCTCTGGCAGAAGGACTTGCCGCAGTCTTTGCATCTGTAGGGCTTTTCCCCTGTGTGGATCCTCTGGTGTTGGGTCAGAGACGAAATCCTGTTGAAGGTTTTGCCGCACTCGCCGCATGCGTAGGGCTTCTCTCCAGTATGAGTCCTCAAGTGCCGCGTGAGGGTTGAGCTGTGCGTGAAGGCTCTCCCGCATTCCTGACATTCATACGGTCTCTCCCCTGTATGGATTCTCTGGTGCTCACTCAGGGAATGCCTCCGGTTAAACACCTTCCCGCAGTGCTGACATTCATAGGGTTTTCCCGCCACATTCACCGTGTTGTGTGTCGTGAGGGCCACACCACGACGACGCGACTCCCCGCTGTCCGCGGCTCCGTTTTGTTGACTGAGGGGACTACTGTGGCTGACATCTTTTCCATATTCGTTCCCTTCACAGGGTCTCTGATCTGTGAATCCCATCTGATGCTGGTGTAAGAATGGATCAGCTACCAAACTCTCAAGATCTAGACCACAGTCACGGAAATGTTTTCCGACAGAATCTCCTTGAGCTAAAGCAAGGTCTGAGCTCATAGCACAGGCTCCCCCAAGCTCAGGCCAGGCGGTGGTCTCCCTCTGAGCAAACACCTCCACTTGGGGGTTTGCCACTTGCCTCGAAAGGCTGTGGGGGTCTTCACGGTTCCCCTCAAGTTCACCATGTCCCCAGTCTTCTTTGGGAAACTTTGTTATATTCATACCTCTGGGTGGTTCTTCCCCGCAAACCGCCTTCTTACAAGACAATGCTTGGCTTTTCAGTCTAGCATCCAAATCTGAAATAAATTGAGGAGGGGGGAAAGGGAAGAAACTTTTAACTTAATAATGGCGGCACAAGAGTACTTCCAACATACATGAGGCGTATTGTGAATTTGTGTTCAAATATCGACGCTCAACATGGGGGGAAACAGGAAAAGGTCCTGAGGCCAGGACGCAGGGTAAGAAGTTTGCCAGTGATGGAAAACAGGGAGATGTAAATGTAGGAGGGATGGCCGTACAAAGGAGGGGGATGAGAATGGGAGAGAGAGAGAATTATCAAGAAAGCAGAGAGGAAGGAGATGTAACAAGAAACATCGGTGGAATAGTTTCAGGAAGGAAATAAGGGGCGCCTGCGTGGCTCAGTCGGCTGAGTGTCTGACTTCAACTCAGGTCATGATGTCAAGGTTCATGGGTTCAAGCCCCACATCAGGCTCTGTGCTGACAGCTCAGAGCCTGGAGCTGCTTTGGATTCTGTGTCTCCCTCTCTCTCTCCCCCCTCCCTGTTCACATTCTCTCTCTCTCAAAAATAAAGAAACATTTAAAAAAAATTTTTTAAAGAAGGAAATGGGATACATTCCCTCTGCACCCAAAGGCTTGAGGAAGCCAGTGCACAGGACAAGCCTGCTGGGGAACGAATGAAGGTATGTGAGAAATCGCAGCCAAAGACCTCAACCTTCTCCGCGTGCAATGGGCATTGGTGGAGAGACCTGCGCCCTGCGGTCCCCAAGACGCCGCCCCCCCTCAGTGGCCCGCGTCTGCCTGCCTCTCACCTGACCAGGAGGTTCGAGGAGCTCCTTCCTCCCCCATCCACACGGCTTCTCCTGGCTCCGCCTGGAAAGGCACCACCGGTAGAAAGAGGGAACCCCCCATTCGTGGGAAAGGACCGGCGGCCTGAGAGGCCTGGGTTGGGGACAGTGCGCCAAACTCAACGCCTGCATCGGCACTTCCGTTCTCCAAGGCTTCTGGAAGAGACAAGAGCAGGCTGGAGAGGTGGCGTGTGGAACAAGCTGAAGATTTCATTCTCCTGATTAAAAACTTGCGGATCTCAGGGCACCTGCGGGGCTCAGTTGGCTAAACACTTGACTCTTGATCTCGGCTCAGGTCATGATCTCACAGTTCGTGGGTTCGAGCCCCGTGTCAGGCTCTGTGCTGACAGCTCAGAGACTGGAGCCTGTTTCAGATCCTGCGTCTCCCTCTCTCTCTGCCCCTCCCCTGCCCATGCTGTCTCTCTCTGTCTCAAAAATAAATAAATAAATAAATAAATAAATAAATAATAAAAAAGGATGGGGATGCCTGGGTGGCTCAGTCGTTAAATGTCTGACTTTAGCTCAAGTCATGATCTCGTGGTTTGTGAGTTCAAGCCCCAGTCGGGCTATCTCCTCTGTTCCCACTCCCTCTGCCCCTCCCCTCAAAATAAATAAACGTTCTTTAAAAATTAAATAAATAATAAAATAAACAGGAAGGACGTCCTGCCACCCGGAACTGTGTGTACAGACCCGGAGGACACTGTGCACAGTGACAGGAACCAGACACGGAAGGACACGTCCTGTGTGACCCCACCCACAGGGGGTCCCCAGAGACGTCCCGTCCACAGAGACAGAGAGTGGATGGTGGGAGCCGGGGGTGGGGCGGGGGGTGGGGAGTCAGTGTTCCATGGGGACAGAGTCTCAGCCGGGAGACGGAAGGTTCTGGAGACGGATGGTGGAGGTGGCTGCACGACATTTTGAATGTAATTACTGCCACTGAATTGTATGCTCAAAAATGGTTTAAAAGGCAAGTGTAATGTTATATGTATTTTACGACACCCACAGAAATATGTTCCACTATGACTTTGTACCCAAGGGGAATTGGGGACGTTTTCTATGCCCGAGGGGAGGCTGCGGCTCAGCACCAGCTCTGGGAGCCACGTACTGAAGGAACCAGCGGACCAGGCGGCCCACAGGGCAGGGGCCACGGCTGCCTTAATCACCAACAACCCCCACTCCTGACACAGCGGCGGACACACCGCAGACGCCACATGGGTGTGAACCGGGGTGCAGGCGCCGCGCCGGGCTTACCCAGGGCGGCCAGGTTCCTGCACGTCTCCAGCATCACCTCTCTGTAGAGCCTCTTCTGAGCGGGGTCCAGCAAAGCCCACTCCTCCCGGGAGAAGTCCACGGCCACATCCTCGAAGGCCACTAACTCCTAAAACATCACACCGGTTCAGCTCAAGAAAGGACCCCTACCCCCAGCGTTCACAGGAGGAGGGCTGAGGTCATGGCCAAGGCCAGCCGGAGGCGCACGCGCAGCAGGGGCGAAGCCCAGCGGTCAGACTCTGCTAGTGCGCGGGTCTGACGGGAACGTGCGGCCCGTTTCCTACTGAACCAGCGAGTCCAGCTTTTGGATCTGTGAGCGCGACATTCCCCCTTGACAACCTCCCCCTGCTTATTCCAAAAAGAGCAGCTTGTGGGATCGGATGGATATTACTGACTTTCCAGGACGCGGCCTCCTCCTCTGCTCAGTGGAAGGAACTCAGCTCCACAGGGTTGCAGTGAACGCTGAGTAGTTCACGCCGGTCAGGGCATCTGCTCCTGATACGGTCAGAGGACCCAGAAGCCAGGCCCGCCAGTCTGTAGGAGCAAAGAGACCCCGGTCCCAAACCGGAGGGCTCCCTGCAGCTACAAGGGGCAGATGGAGGAAGAAACGGGATTTGCTGCCCAGCACCCGACCCGCTGAGTCGTGGCAAGAGCTGACAGGGGAAAGGAAGGGCACGTGGGTGGGGGTGGCGAGTGTGCGGCGCCCGGCTGGAACCAGCAGAGAGGGAACGTTAGCTACGGAATTCCCAAGTGATGGCTCCGACCCCCGGCGAGCAGGTCTCCTGGGCCTGCTGGCTGGTTTTGGCCACTCTGGCTGAACTTACGATTTTTTGTTTTGTTTTGTCTTTAAAAAACACAGTCCTAGGGCACCTGGGTGGCTCAGTCAGTTAAGCGTCTGACTTTGGCTCAGGTCATGATCTCATGGTTCGTGAGTTCAAGCCCTGCTTCAGGCTCTGTGCTGACAGTTGGGAACCTGGAGCCTGCTCCCAATTCTGTGTCTCCCTCTCTCTCTGCCCCTCCCCCGTTCACACTCTGTCTCTCTCTCTCTCAAAAATAAATAAACGTTAAAAATTTTTTTAAAAATAAAATAAAATAAGGTTGGAGGCTTGAGCTGCTCAGGGGCTCCCGCAAAGTCCTGCGTGGCCTGGAGAGGAAATGACCCTCTGGCCTCACCTCCTGGGTCTGGGTGACTCCATTTACTCGCACACGGAGACGGACAGGAAGGGACCCCGCCTGGCCTCATGGCAGCTCAGCTTTGCTGCCGCCGAGGGACAAGCCGCAGCTCTGTCCAGACCCTGACCTCACAGGTCCTGGGGGCGGCCTGGGCTCCCAGCTGAAACCTGGCAGCGTCCCTGGGCGCTGTGCCGGCCTCGGCGTGCACCAGGCTGGCCTGGAAGCCGGTGTGCCTGTGATGGCCAGAGCGGATGGAGGACCCCTCTCCAGGGGACCCCAATGAGGACAACACCCAGGACACTGACTGGACCCCCGGGGTCACTTGCAAGTGCCCACAGGAGAGGACCTGTTCTCCCGGGGACCGCCTGATCCCGGGCCGTCGGCCGGCTCTGTGTTTCTGGTGGAGACACTGATCACCTTCCCAAACCTGTGGCTGCCGCCCAGAGCTGGGAGCTAAGGGACAGGGGCCCTGTCTACCGGTCCTCACAGATCTGCTGTCCCAGCCGATGCCCTGTAAGGCAGCTTCACAGCAAACACAGCTCGCCCAGCCTTACAAAGACTGATCCGGCCTCAGCAAGGAAGGACGTCCCGCCACCCGCCACCACGTGGACGGACCTGGAGGGCACCATGTGCAGTGACGGAAGCCAGACACAGAGTGACCCCACTCAACAGGGAGCCCCGAGAGGCGTGCCGTCCACAGAGACAGAGAGAAGACAGTGGGAGCCAGGGGTGGTGCAGGGGGTGGGGTGGCCATGGTTCATGGGGACAGAGTCTCAGTCTGGGGAGATGGAAAGTTCTAGAGACGGATGGTGGGGGCGGCTGCACGACAGTGTGTGCTTGACGCCGCTGAGCTGTGCACTTTGAGATGGTTACGATGGTGAATTTTATGTTATGTGTATTTTACCACAACTTTAAAAATTGTTTTTTTAATGCGACAAGACGGTGCTCCCGTGCCCCACCCCCCACCCGCTGGGGTGGGTGCCCCAGCCCAGGACGGAAGCGCAGCCGTCTTGCAGGGAAAGACACGCTGAGTACAGCGCACACCAATCCTTCCGCTTACCAGAAGCAGAAGTGCTCGGACCCAGATGCTCGAGGGGAAGGCCCCCTGGGTTCCCACACAGCAACGGGGCTCCCTTCTCCATCCGGGAACACATTCCTCGTAGGAGTGTTTCCTCTGCTCACACTGCACATCTTCAGGGAAAGAGGGAGCTCCCACTCACCTGCGGCCCAGAGGTCAGGTACCCAGCAGCCATCCTCTTCTCTTGGGAAAAGCAGGATCTGAGGCAGGCAGAGCTGTGGGGGGAGAAGGGACCATGAAGCCCAGGCCCAGGCCTGTCCCGACCCCCAAATCCTGGACCCGGACACCTCTGGCACCAATCCGGGTGCCCTCCCCCACCCCTCCCACACAGAGTGTGGTCAGCGGAAGCCAGGACAGAGGCCATGGGCACTGAAATAAATGACCACACGTTGGGGGCTTAGGATGGAAGAGATTTATTCTCCCATGTTCTGGAGGCCAGAGTGGGATCAAGGTCTCAGTTCCGAGGCCCCAGAACAGGGTCCTTCCCACCTCTTCCAGGTTCTGGGACTCCAGCTACCCTGAGCTTGTGGCCACGTCCCTCCAGCCTCTGCCTCCGTGGTCCCATGGCTGTCTTCTGATTCTGTGTCTCTCTTCTTATAAGGACACCAGTCGTTGGATTAGGCTCACCCATTCCGATAAAGCCTCATCTTAACTAACTACGTCTGCAAAGACCCTATTTCCAAAGAAGCTCACTTTCCAAGATTCCGGGTGGACATGAATTTTGCAGGGAGCCCCGTCCGACCCAGTAGGACCTCCCAGCCTCAAACTCTGGAATCACAGTTTGGAAGCCCATAGGTGCCTCCACCCCTGGCGTCTCTCAGATTCATCTCTGCCTTCCCACAGCCCAGCCAGCTCCTGGGGTCTCCATCCCGGGCCCCCCTCCCTTGCCCTGGACTCTCCTACCAGACCGCCCCAGCTCTGCAGCAGGAAGGGTCCAGACGGGCCTGTCTCACCAGGAAGGCACAGCCCGGACTGTGCTCTGCACACTCCCGGGGCCTCCTTCCCATTCCAGGGGGAGGGCTGATTCTGACACTTCCTCGAGGCACCAAGGACTCTCTCCCGCCTCTCTGTGCCCTCCTTCCAATGAGGCCTTGACCTCTGGGCTTCTGAGTTGAGCTCAGATGCTCTATTTTAGCCAGAGCCCTGCCAAGTCACTTCTGCCCTGGGTCCAACCACTCTGGATATCCGGCCAATTTCCTCCTGTCACCCAGGTGCCGTGGGGGTCACGTGGAATGCCTGCAGCAGCAATCCCATCAGGTCTGTTCGGCCAGAATCCCCCGTGATGTGTCCTCACAGCAAGTGCCCTCTGCTGATCCCTCGCCTGCTCCCTTGCTATAAACACCCGCTTGTCCCCACCGCATCAGGGACGGAGCCCCCAGAGGCCTTTCCCTACTGCAGCAGGTCCTGAACAGACTGTTTCCAGGGCTCTAAGACTCCCGGCTCCGGCCCTCTTCTAACACCATCCTGGGGGAGTCCTGTTCTGTCCCCACTCACTGCATGTGGGCCACTGGCTGTTCGGGTGATGTCATGGACATGATGTCTCTTGTAAACCACCAATTCTCATGCAGACTCATGAGGAATGAATAGGGGCCATTTACTGGGTACTTACGACGGCGTGATCTGGGTTCCTGGAGGAAAACTTCAAAAATCACCACCCATGGCTTAGTTGGTTAAGCGTCCGACTTTCGCTTAGGTCATGATCTCGCGGTTCGTGGGTTCGAGCCCCGCGTCGGGCTCTGTGCTTACTGCCAGCTCAGAGCCTGGAGCCTGTTTCAGAGTCTGTATCTCCCTCTCTCTCTGACCCTCCCCTGCTCACGCTGTCTCTCTCTCTCTCCTAGAAATAAATAAAACATTAAAAAAAAAAAAAAAAATCACCACCCAGCCTCGTTCAAGGAAAATCACCATGGGACACCCCAGCAATCATCCCAGCAGACAAGAGCCACAGATGCACATGTCATTACCGGGGAGGCTCCGAGGACAGGCAGGACATCGCGTGACCTAAAGTCACACGTCCCAAATTCGTGTTAATTACCATCATGGTGTTAAGACACCTGTAAATTCTTCCATGCTTCTCCCTCCAGGACGTGGGGATTCCGCCCCCCCCCCCCATCCACGTGGGTTGACTTAATAACCTGCTTCCAGCAAATAGTGCAGATAAAGGGAAGAAGAGGAACTTTACTACTGGAGAAACCTGGCCGAACCCACACTCGCCAAGTGATCAAGATCGACATCACTGTGGTGTGAAGTGGACGTCAGATGTCCCCTGATGTGACATGACCCCTCTGGGCTACCTTCCCCCAAACCGTAACCTCAGTGTAATCGGGAGAAAACACCAGACGAACTCAACCCGAGGACCTTCTACCAAACACCTGGCCAGTGCTCTTCAAAAGCATCAAGGTCATGAAAGACCAGGAAGATGTGAGGAAAGGGCACAGACTGGAGGAGCCCAAGAACACAAGGTGAGATGGCAAGATGTCATGCGGGCCCCCGGATCCGGTCCTGGGCCAGAATGAAGATATGAGTGGAAGATCTGGTGAGATCTGCAGGAAGTCTGCAGTCTGGTTAACAGGACAGAACCAAGGTGAATGTTTGGTAGGTCAACATGGCTTTTCTTTTAAGTTTATTTATTTTGAGAGAGAGAGCGCACACATGAGCAGGAAAAGGGTAGAGAGAGAGGGAGAGAGGATCCCAAGCAGGCTCCGTGCCGTCAGCGCAGAGCCCGACGTGGGGCTCGATTTCATGCAAGATCATGACCTGAGCCGGAACCAGGAGTCGGATGCTTAACTGCCTGAGCCACCCCGGTGCGTCCGAACTCATTGTTGTCATGGTTGTCATGGTGGTCTGTGACCAGTGACACTGCTAGAAGTCCAGATGAGGATCAGCAATTTGTAACAGTACATGTATTTTGAAATTAAGGTGTTTACACCTTATTTATGTTTTTTTAAAAATAGTGGAGTTTATTTAAATGTAATTTTTTACAGAGAGAGAAAAAAAACCATGAGTAGGAGATGAGCAGAGAGAGAAGGAGACACAGAATCCGAAGCAGGCTCCAGGCTCCAGCTGTCAGCACAGAGCCCGATGTGGGACTCGAACCCACGACCCCTGAGATCATGACCTGAGCTGAAGTCAGACGCTCAATCAACTGAGCCCCCCAGGCGCCCTGTAACTGTTTAAATGATCAAGGAAGACGTGATTGGTAAGGGCAACTTCTACAAACCACTCATGAAATAAAACATAAAACAGAACAAAAATTTGAAAACCTCAAAGACGAGCCAGAGAGGACGCGTGGCCGAATTCTCGCGGACAGCTGGCCCTGCCTTGCTCTGTGTCTGTGGCTTCAGCTACGCAGGGGGCAGGCTGTGCCTGGCCACGTCCCCGGGCCGTCAGCTGAGTCTCTACACGGACACACATGCTCTACCCTGACAAAGCACCTGCCGATGACACGGAATCGGGTCCTCTGAAAGACAGGCTCTAGTCCTGACCCTCCCACGCCTGAGAAGGTGACCTCATCTGCAAGCAGGATCTCCGCAGATGCGATGCCGTCATCCTGGAGTAGAGTGGGCCCTAATGCCATATGCTGGTGTCCTTAAAATAGATGCCGACAAATAGGAAGACGGCCATGTGACAATGGACGTAGAAACTGGAGTGACACAGCTGTAAGCCAAGGGACCCCAAGGGTTAAGAGGAACCCTGGGGAGCTGGAAGAGGCAGGAAGGGGTCCCCCCCCCCGGAGCCTTCGGTGGGAGCAGTGCCCTGCTGACCCTTGATTTCAGACCTCTGGCCTCCAGAGTGGGTGAGGGGAAGCTTGTTTCAGCCACCCAGTCGGGCAGCCCCAGGACACTCACAAACACCAAAGGCCAACGCAGGGGCAGCGCTCCTTGCCCCCAGCCCCCCGCCCCCTTAGCCTTGTTTCCGGGGAACCTGAAGGCACCTACCACTGCCCCCCCCCCCAACTGTGTGAGTCTTTCCTCTGGGACTTTACACCACAGCACCCAGGTCCTCCAGCCCCTGCTGAACTCTTGCAGACCAACTCTCTCCCACCCTCTCCTGGCCCCTTCAGCCCCCCTCCTTCACCCAGGCCTGTGCCACAGGGTTGGGGATTCTCCCTTTCAATGTTTAAGCCTCAGGAACTCATCCTTTCTCCATAGGAAAGGCCCGGTGAGGAATTCCTCAAAGGACAATGAAATCCCCCCCAAGGAAGGGAAGGTTGGCGGGCGTGGTGCCGGGTCACTGGCAGGGGCCAGTCTGCTTCCTCACTGCTTGGCAGGTGCGTCGGGCATAAGTGGGGGGGCCCTGGACACCACCAGGATCACAATGCTGAAGTGTAAGTCCGGGTCTCCCCCCAACACTGTGGACGTCGGTGCGGGTGTTCTCGCGGGGTGGGGGGTGCTCCTGGGGCCCTGGGCACGGGGAGGCATTGGGCGGGGTCCCTGGCCTCACCTACTCCACTCCAGGGGCTCCCCCGGCATGACAACCAAAGATGTTCCCAGATACCACCCAGGGTCCCCTAGGGGCAGAGTCACTCCCACATGAGATCTCCCTGGTCTAGGGGCTTCACCCACCCCTAGAGACTGCCGTGCCATCGTCATCTGCTCTACCGAGGTCCCAGGACGCTGCACACTTAAATACACACACGGGGGCGGGGGCGGGGGGCGGGGGATCCCGCTGGTTCCTACTGTCTGGCCCTTTGGGGATTTATTCTGGTGTCTAGTGAGCAGGGATCGGACTCAACTGATTTTCCAAATGATTAACATAGCCCTGTGGACACTGGGGCTGGATCATTCTCTGGGGTGGGGCGGGCTGAGCAGCACCCCTGGCGCCCACCCACTCGATGCCGGGAGCACCCCACCCCCACCCCGTCATGACGAGCACCAATGGCCCCGAGCACTGCCAAGTGTGTCCTGGGAAACGGGGCCAGGCAGAATGGCCCCGGGTGACCCCTGGGTCAGCCCAAGGAGCCCGAGTGAATTTACATTCCCAAGTCTGCGTTCCGACCCTTCTCGGCCTTTAAGAGCAAATAGATTTATTCCATTTCCCTTTCAAGTGCGGCCCCTCCCCTCACGGCAGAGCACGCCCCCCTCGGTCTCACGGTGGGGCCCCCCAACGGGCAAGGGTCAGCTGTGCCACTGTGGGCGCTGGCGGCCTCTGTCGCCTCCAGAGTGACACGCAGGGCAAACGCCCCGGGAACGCCTGGGTCGCCCCTCCCGCCGGACCCCCAAACACCCGTCTTCAGGCGCAGCGGCCCCGGGGTGCGCGCAGGTGCCATCCAGGGAGCTGCGCTCGGGCGCCACCGGCTCCCGCCCGGGCCGCCGCGGCCAGTCCCGGACCCCACCTCCCTCCGCCCCTCGGGCCCGGAGCCCGCGCCCCCTCCCTGCGCCCGGTTAACTCACGCCGCGCCGCCGCCGCCGCCGCCCCCGCGAGCGCGCCCAGGACGGACTCCGCAGTGCGCCTGCGCACCATTAGGCCGCGAACTACAAGTCCCAGGAGGCCCGTGCGTGGCGCCGGGTGTCCCGCGTCCCTCTGGGGGCAACGAGTCGAGTCACAGCGCCATCTGCGGGCGGGCGGTGTCTCCGCAGCACAGAGAAGCTTCCTGCCGCAGCGCACAGCGCAGGGCGGCAAGCGCAGGTGCGCTGTGTTCGGCTCCTTCTTAAATGGGGGAGAAACTACCATTCGGCACACGGTGCCAGAGACGTACAGGTGTGCCTGCTTATTAACAAATTACGTAAACGTATAACCCATTTTTTACTTGGTAAAATTGTTTTAATGATAATATTTATTAGTAATACTAATATGCTGATTTGTGTTATCAATAACATGTTGAAACAATAAAACTACCATAATTAATGTATTAATGTATTATAGTTCAGGGATATGTAATGCTGTAATTAACTATAATATTCTGTATAATAGAGTAAAATGTAACCAATCATCTAGGGGCGCCTGGGTGGCTGTCAATTAAACGTCCCACTCGGTTTCCACTCAGGTCCTGATATAACTGGGTCTGAGCCCGGGGCTCTGCGCTGGCAACGCAGAGCCTTCTTGGGATTCTCTCTCTCTCTCTCTCTCTCTCTCTCTCTGACCCTCCCCCCCAGTTGGAGCTGTCTCTGCTTCTCTCCAAATAAATAAACTGTTTTTAAATGTTTTTAAAATGTTTCATTTATTTCTAGGAGAGAGAGAGAGAGACAGCGTGAGCAGGGGAGGGTCAGAGAGAGAGAGAGTCACGGACTGAAACAGGCTCCAGGCTCTGAGCTGGCAGTCAGCACAGAGCCCGACGTGGGGCCCGAACCCACGAACCACGAGATCATGACCTAAGCGAAAGTCGGACACTTAACCCACTAAGCCACCCAGGCGCCCCATAAATAAACTTTTTTAAAAAAATGTAACCATCTGCAGCACCGGGGTGGCTCAGTCAGTTGAGTGTCTGACTTTGGCTCAGGCCATGATGTCACAGTTGGTGAGTTCGAGTCCCCCAACCACTCCCTACTGTCAGCACAGAGCCCACTTAGTATCCTCTGTCCCCCTCTCTCTCTGCCCCCTCCCGCTCTCTCTCACTCTCTCTGAAAAGTAAACATTTTGAAAAATTAGCCATCTAGTAATAAAATATTAATAAATTATATAAATATGTGGTAAATTATACATTAAAAATTATTATTGGTCCAAATCATGTTATATATTATATGCCTTTCTGAATACTACGTATTTCTCTTTCTCACTCTTTCTCTCTATGCAATGCCCAAGCCCTGAAGCTGTATGTTTTCCTTATAGAAAACATGGGGTCCCCCTAAATGGAGAGAAGTTGACAGAGCTTCCTCCATTACAACTGATGCTTTCCTGGCACCGGAGAAAGTGTTCCATGTGATGCATATTTTTTTTTAATTTTTATTTTTTAATGTTTTATTTATTTGTAGGAGAGAGAGAGACAGCGTGAGCAGGGGAGGGTCAGAGAGAGAGGGAGTCACAGACTGAAACAGGCTCCAGGCTCTGAGCTGGCAGTCAGCACAGGGCCCGACGCGGGGCTCGAACCCACGAACCGCGAGATCATGACCTAAGCGAAAGTCGGACGCTTAACCGACTAAGCCACCCAGGCGCCCCCCATGTGATGCATATTATACACGTTATGCTTGTGCCTTGTCATCCGATCTATAGGCACTCCGGCAAAACGCATTAGGATCTTTTCTCCAGAGTTGCGTCTGGTTTCAAGCCTGGAGTGGGAATCTAGTCCTCAAGCGGCTTTGGTTTAAGTAGAATAAACATCAAGTGAAGGTCCCAATGGTTGGATGAATTTGTGTAACAGATGGCCCTACCAACTCAATAATGTACATAAAATGTGTTATGATTGAATGACTGTGTTCCCCACCCCCACCCCCACACACAACAAATTCTTCAGGTGACTCCTGATGGCCAGTGTGATGATATTAGGAGGCAGGGACCTTTGAGAGGTGATCATTGGGTGGAGTCATCATGGATGGGATTAGTGCCCTTGTGAAAGAGACCCGAGAGCACCCTCGTCCCTTCTTCCATATGAGAACACAAGAAAGAAAGAGGTCAGCTGTCTGCAACCTGGAAGGGAGTTCTCCCCTGCCGGGGTCAGCACCCTGACCTTGAACTTGCAGCCTCCAGAACTGCCAGAAACAAATGCCTGTGTAAGCCACCAGTCCATGACCCTTTATTATACCAGCCTGAACACACTCAGACAATGTGTTGAGAAATTTTCCAACCCCACTTTTTCAGTCTGTTTTTTTCAGTCTTAGCCTGTGTCACAGAAGATATGTGCTCAGACTGCCCATTTAGGATGGGAGGGCCCCTTCCTCAGAGGCCTCCACACCGCTGCTGGCGGCCCTAGGCTTTCAGCTTTGATTAATAAAAAATAATATCAGTGGTGCGACAGCGGTTGGGGGGGGTGGTGTGCTCAGTCGGTTCAGCATCTGACTCTTGACTTTCAGCTCAGGTCATGATCTCACGGTTGGTGAGATCGAGCCCCGTGTCAGGCTCTGTGTTGACAGTGTGGAGCCTGCTTGGGATTCTGTCTCCCTCTCTCTCAAAATAAATGAATAAATAGACATTTTAAAATAATAATAATAAGAGTGGATTGAGGAGTTTATAATGGATGTGAAAGAAAAAGGGCCGACAATGATAGAAAGGCTGGGAAAGGAGAAATGGTCCTATTGCAAGGTTCTTACAAAGTCCCACGAGATCACGTGAAGGCAGACTGTAACAGGTTAGATGTATGCTATAAACCCTCACATCGCGGGGCGCCTGGGTGGCTTAGTCAGTTAAGCGTCTGACTTTTGCTCAGGTCATGATCTCACTGCTCGTGGGTTTGAGCCCCGCGTCGGGCTCTGTGCTGACTGCTAGCTCAGAGCCTGGAGCCTATTTCAGAGTCTGTATCTCCCTCTCTCTCTGACCCTCCCCTGCTCATGCTGTCTCTCTCTCCCTCTCCTAGAAATAAATAAAAGTAAAAAAAAAAACAAAAAACTGAAAACATAAACCCTCACATCGCTATGGACACAGAGAGCGATAGCTAATAAATCAAATAGATTTATTTGAAAATAAAATAGAATCATGAAAAATACTCAGTTACTCCAAAGGAAGTCAGAAGAGGGTAAAGGGTAAACTGAACTGACTAGAATATGAGCAGCAAGGTGCCTGGGGGCTTAGTTGCTTAAACATCCGCGACTCTTGGTTTTGACTCAGGTCATAACCACATGGTCCATGAGATCAAGCCCCACGTCAGGCTCTGCATTTACAGTGCAGGATTCTCTCTCTCTCTCTCTCTCTCTCTCTCTCCCTCTCCTTCTCTACCCTTCCCTCCCCCATTTGTGCTCTCTCACTTTCAGTCTCTCAAAATAAATAAATATTTTAATTTTTTTGTAATTTTTCAAATGCTTGTTTTTGAGAGAGAGAGAGGGAGAGAGAGAGAGAATAGGGGAGAGGCAGAGAGAGAAAGAGACACAGAATCCAAAGCAGACTGTAGGCTCTCTGAGCTATCAGCACAGAGCCCGACACGGGGCTCGAACTCACAGACCATGAGATCATGGCCTGCGCTGAAGTCAGATCCTTAACTGACTGAGTCACCCAAGCGCCCCAATAAATAAATATTTTTTAAAAACCACTTTTCAGGGGTGCCTGGGTGGCTCAGTCTGTTAAGCATCTGACTCTGGCTCAGGTAATGATCTCACAGTTCGTGAGTTTGAGCTCCACAATCTGCAGTCCGTCGAGAATGCCTGCCAGTGACAATATGTCCTCAGAGGGACGAAGACGCTCAGTTTTAATGAACTGGCATTTTTCTCACGAGTTGTAGGAGTATCTGTGATTATATTTTCTTTTTTTTTTAATTTTTTTTAATATTTTTTTTATTTATTTCTAGGAGAGAGAGAGACAGCGTGAGCAGGGGAGGGTCAGAGAGAGAAGGAGTCACAGACTCTGAAACAGGCTCCAGGCTCTGAGCTGGCAGTCAGCACAGAGCCCGACGCGGGGCTTGAACCCACGAACCGTGAGATCATGACCTAAGCGAAAGTCGGACGCTTAACCGACTAAGCCACTCAGGCGCCCCTGTGATTATATTTTCTAGGCAAGAATAAAGAGTGCTTGTGCTGGAAATGGCCCTGAAGTAGACGGCGCCTCTGGGTGCAGGAGATTTTCTAAAGGAGAACTCAGTATCTATCCTTTGCTGCCCAGAGAGTCTCTCTAACCAGCTGGAGCTGCTTTGGTCAGTGTGATGGGTTTCCCAGCCATGATGTCTTTTAATGATGGTATGAAATGAACCAAGTCCCCCTTTGTGTATCTCCTTTAAAGAAGGGTTTATATTTTTTTAAATTTAATTCTGGGAGCACTTTAAGGGATAGCTTTTGTTTTTTTTTTTTTTTTTTTTTTTTTTTTTACAAATGAAGACATTGGTTCTTAATGGGTCAACTACCCAGGAACTTTAAAATGTAAGGTTTTTTTTTTTTTTTAAGTTTATTTATTTTGAGAGAGCGCGTGGGAGAGGGGAAGAAAGAGGAAGAAAGAGAAAGAATTCCAAGCAGGGTCGGGCAGAGCCTGATGCAGGTCCCAAGCCCATGAACTGAATGATCGTGACCTGAGCCGAAGTCAAGTGTCAGACACTTAAAGGGGTGCCAGAATTTTCTGAATCTCTATCAGATGCATAGATGGGGCGGCTGGGTGGCTCAGTCAGGTAAGCGTCTAACTTCAGCTCAGGTCATGATCTCATGGATCATGGGTTCGAGCCCCGCGTCGGGTTCTGTGAGGACACCTCGGAGCCTGGAGCCTGCTTCAGATTCTGTGTGCCCCCCGCCCCTCCCCCATTCGTTCTCTGTCTCTCTCCCTCTCTCTCAAAAACAAATAAGCATTAAAAAAATTATCAGATTCACAGAGAATGTCTTGGATCCCTCAAGCATCAGGGAATGACTGGCATTTTCAATTAGCATTAGACACATGTTAACAAGAATG